TATATATATTATTATTATATATATATATATATTATTATATATATATATATATATATATATATATATATATATATATATTATATTATATATTTTGGAATCAAAGTAAACATAAATTATTCATTATTAATATTATATTCTATAATTTATATTCTTAATAATATTATATAATATCATAGAATTTTATTAATCTATTTAATAATAAATAATATAAGATATATATTTAAAAATTTATTTAAAATAAGATTATGTTTATTATATATTTTAATATAATTCAACATAAGTATAATCGTAAAATCGAAAATTATAAGCAAAATAAAAAATAAATAAAGAAATGAATTTCATATATGGAAAAGGAAATTCAAATATTGAATATAAAAAATACAATTAATAAATTAATTAATAAGTAATTGAACTTTCTAACTAAGTATAAAAAGTGAATTACTAATCAATATAAAAAGTGAATGACTAATTAATAAAAAAGTGAATGTCTAAATTATAAAAAAAGTGAATAACTAATTAATAAAAAAATATCACTTTTAAATACAACACGTAATAATATCATAAAAAAAGTATATTATATAATATCATCTTAATTACAATAATTATGTATTCCATAAGTATGATGTCTTTAGAATTTAGAATATCTTTAATTTTAAATTGAACACTAAATACTATTTTTGGATTTTATATTTTGCTATTTTCATAATTTTAACGCATAGAGGGCCTTATAATTACCTATTTTAATATCGAATGAGGTTATATGGTAATTTATTTAGATCATATAGCTTTTATTAAGATGAAATAGTAAATCAAGTAAGATAGATATTTATAATCTTTTTTGCACTTTTAATTTTATTTTTTTAAGTAAGTGCACTTAAAATACTGCATCTAAAAGAAAAGATAATTATACAACTAATAGTGGGCATTTAGTATGCATGTATTGCGTATTTTGATGATGATTTTATTCTTTGGGTTTGATATTTCTATTGCTTAAACTATAATTTGTGTACTTTCTGGTATTAGCTTTAGGTTTTATATACATTATAATACTTAATGCATTCTAGGAGATAATTATTATGAAATATTATAAGATGATTATATTTTAGCCTCTTTAATTATTTATTCACATATTATTGAATTTTTCTTATGGATTTTAGAGTTGTTATCAAGATATAAGGATAGTAAATAATTGATATCGCTTTTATACATAAATATTTGCAAGAAAAAATATATTTATATATTAAATCAAGTAGTAATAATATTTTATTATTAAACATAATAATTGAATTTGTTGTTATAAAAAATAGCTAACTTAAAAATAATTCAATTTTGTTTAATTTTTTTAAATTTTAAAAAAATATATTTTGTATATGAAAAATATTTTTTTAACAAAATTCAGTATTTTTATTATCTTTTTTTTGTTTAAAGGAAAAACAAAAAATAGAAATAATTTACATTCACATAAAAAAATTAAAAAATATAAATGGAAGACTCTCAAAAGCAATTATCAAAGCTTTTAATATTACTAATCCAACTTGAAATGCCCAAAAACATAAAAGAGCAAACTCTTCAACAATACAAAAGTTTTTTTATGCGTATGTTATCTTCCCGAATCGGTTAAAATAGCCCTTAAATTGAAGAATCTTAAATTAAAAAAAAACTAATCACTTAAGCAAAAACTGTCCAACAATAACAAAAAATTCAACAATCATTAAATAAATTAGATAAAAGTTCAAACACTTTATATCAGAAATCTAATATAATCCAACTTTTATTATAATTAGCAAATTCGAATTAAAAAAATAACCTAATCCAATATGAAAATATGGACTCTATTTTTATTTCTAACCCCCCAACTAAAAAAATATAAAATAATAATATTAATAACAATACAATAGAAATTGAAGCAAATACCACAATGCACACTTTAAATAATGCTTCACTTGCAAATACCTAAAGGACTGAAATAAGTTAAGTAATCCAAAAAATACATAATAAAGGCAATTAATAAATCGATTTATCAGAAAAAGACATTATAAGGGATTTAATATTTGTTTTTTAAGCGATAGATGGTCATTATATTGTTTTCAATTTTCAAGAAAATCGTTTTGCAATCAAAAATAATATCCCCTTAAGTGAACCTGTGAGAATTCTTGTAAATAAATTATGTAAGGTGGGAAATTATTTTAAAAAAATCTAAGGATATAATAAATTAAAACTAATAAGGGTAAGTAATATGTTCTTTAATTTCAGCCATAAAGGAAGAACTGTCCGAATTTTACCGACTTTATAGCGATTTTCGAAAAAGAATTAACTTCTTCAAATGAATTAACTCTTCGAAAAATGTAATTATGGATGTAATAACCTTCAGAAAGACTAAAATGGCTTGCTACAGTATGTGAAAGTGTACAAGGGATGTTTGGATTTCAGATTATTTCTTAAATAAGTGTATACGAAATGTAAGGAAATACACATGTTTAGTTGCTAATGTAGAGGATTTTGTAAAAAGTCTACGAGCCATTTTTAAAGTATATTAGTTTGTGGATTTATTAAGGAGAATTATGTGATAATTATAAGGAATTTTTCGTAGGAATAAATTAGTAATAAGAAAATAATAATAATAATGATATATGGAAAAATAAGTATTTTCTTGTAATTTAATAAATTCCAAATATTATTGTTAGAGAAAGTGCTTAAATAATATTCAATTTAGGGAGAAGTATTAACTTTTTACATAAGGCTTGTAAATAAAATGATTGGAAACTAAATTTAGAATTCTTTAATTTCAAAGTCGAAAAAAATGCAGATTAGCTCAAAAGTTGGTTAAGAGATGCTTCTAGACTAGTCAATAATCAAATTATGGATGTTTTAGTGAATAAATATCACCTAAAAAAACATCTTTATGCAATTAAACAATTCCTACTTATGGGATAAGGAGATTTTATTTAATAATTAATGCATTTATTATACGATGAACTTTCTCAACCTGCTAATTAGATTTTTAGGCATAATTTATTAGGTATATTTTCATTTATATTTTAATTTTAATAATAAAACAAATAATTTCAGGATAATTAGAAAGTGCAATAAGATCAAGTAATGCTAATAGTGAAACTTCTTAAAGATTAGATGTAAAGTTATTAGAAGCATCTCCAGGAGATAAAGGATGGGATATATTTTCTTTGGACTATCATGTAGAAGCGCCTTTAGATACTATTTTATCTAAAGAAGTTATGAGAAAATATTTAAAAATTTTCAACTTTTTATGGCGAATGCGTCGTATAAGTCATACTTTATCTCAAGTTTGGTTGAGCCACATGAAAGCAGGAAATATAATGAATTAAAAAGAAAATATCGGTTCTTTGTATGCCAAAATAAATAGGACAAGGCATGAAATGATTAATTTTATAAACAATTTCATGTGTTATATTATGGTCGATGCTATCGAAAGCAGTTGGAAAGAGTTTTGCGAAGAATTCGATAAAAGTGAAGACTTTTAAACTATAATTGATAAACATGAAGAGTTTGTATAAAATGTTCTTACAAAATCACTCCTTACATAGGATAGTTTAAAAATTTATGAAAAAATTAATAAAATAGCGACTTTGATTCTCAAATTTAGAATAAATTAATAAGTTTTAATTACCGAAGTCTAGGATGAACATGAAAGAATTAGATAGTTTAAAGTCGAATAAAGGGCTAAACTTATTATTAATTAATTAGAAGAAGAATAAGACGCTGATTTTAAAGATAATAATTTAGAAAACTCAGATTTTTAAATTCCTCAAAGTGCAAATAATTTTAAAGAATTTAATAAGGAATATTAGTAAGCTTTTGCTTAATTACTTTAGCTTATAAAACATAATGATAAGTTAAGATATTTGAGCTTTAAAATAGACTTTAATGAGTACTATGCTTAGGAAAATTTTGTAATTTTGAATACTAAACAACAATAAACAAGACTTAAATAAAATGATTTTTAACAAGAATTTTAAATAGGGAGAAATTAATAATAATAATAGTTTTTTATGTAGCAATAAAAAAATGATTTTCAAACTATTAATAAAAGTAAAAACAATTTCGATATAAATAATTGAATTCAATATAAGAATTCATAATAACTATATAGTTTAATTTTATAAATATTAATATATATAATTATAATAAATAATTAATATAAATATTTTGTAATAAATAATAAGAAGAAATATATATATATAGAGAAATAATCAATTTATTTACTTAATATATTATTTTAAAATTTTTAAATTTTTAGAATAAATGTTTTTATTTTACATATAAAAAAATCAGAAGATTTAATTATAAAAAATAAAACATTTAATATTATAAATATAAAAATTATTATATATATGTAATTATATATTTATAAAAACTAAAAAATATAAAATTATTATTTATTTTTTATAATATAAAAAATATATATATTATCATTATTTATTTTGTATTTGTTTTTGAATTTTTTTTACCAAATCCTTATCCTATACAACCATAAATCCATCATCATTTTATTCACCAATTTATTTTTAACTCTCTTGACTTTGTTCAGTTTAAGGCGTTTACTAAGCTTCTATATTTTCTTATTTTTTCACTTCAATAGGGATAAAATTAGGTCCTTAATCTTATTTTTTTTTGTTAACAAATCTAGGAATAGGTTTATTCTAATCTTCTTATACATTAACAACTTCCTTCAATTATTTTTCTTATTAATATTTTTCCTATTTTTAAATTAATGCTTATTCTTTGAGTCTTTATTCTGCTCTTCTTTAAGCTTCTTCTTATTTTAATTCTAAATCAGTTTTTTGAATAGGGACAAAGGTGCTTCCTTCAGCTTTTTTATTTATAAATTTTGGAAGTTATTAGGAATGAACAAATAATTCTTCTTTAGCTTCTTTATTTTCTCTTGGTTATTATTATTTATCAGAAATAATATATGTTTTTTGCATTTTTTCTTATAATTCAATCATTTTTTTAGTTTATTCATTTTATTCTAATGGAACAAATCCTCCTTTACTAGAATTTTAAAATCTAGGAGCTTTAACTTCTTCTTGCTATATTTATCTTGTCTGTTTTTTTGGTTTAGGATTTTCATTCAATGTTTCTTCTTTTAAGTCAACAAAATCGTCTTCTTTAGCAACAAAATCTTATTAAAATACTTGTTCCTTTGCTGCTTATGGTATCCATGATGTTCTTATTATCTTTTATAGAATATATATATATATATAAATTATATTTCATTATAAAATTATTTAATACTTTTTTTTCTTAGGCAGGCTAAATTTAAGGAACTTCTTCTTTTTATTAATTAGATTGTTCTACTACCACTTCCTATATAGAAGCCCATGTAGCATTATCTTCTTATTATCTTACATTTGCTCTTTCTTAACTTTTTTTTTAAAATTTATTACATATAAATTATTTGTTTTTTTACGGCGCTTCATCTGATTATCTGTTTAAAGGAGCATCTAAAATTTATACTGTTTATGCTTAATCTTCATCGCCCCATGCATCATCTTATTCAACTACTTTTCTTACATTTTCAATTTAGCTTTTTACAACCTTTTATATTTTTATTAAAAAAAAATTAAATTAATAATTATAAAATTTTATATTTTACTGGTTCTTATAATGTTGTTTCTTTCTTTAAATCCAAAACATTTAAAGGTTACGTGGCTTTTTTTCTTAAACTTTTTTTGCTTTTTGTAATATTTTTGACATTTTGGCTTTTTTTAGATTTATTTTGTTATTTTTTTTGATAATATTTAAATTTAGATTATTTTATATATTTAGTTATAAAATTAAAAATCATAAAAAAGTACAAATAAAATTAAAAAATAATTAATATAGAAAAAATAATGAGAAAAAAATTACAAAAATAATAGATATAAATTAAAAATATTTAAAATATGCAAATATATATATATAATACATTGCATATTAATTATATTTTTAATTTTTTTTTTTTTTATAAAAATAAAAGATATTAAATTAGAAATATTATATAAAAAATATATAAATAAATATATTTAAAATTAAATTTTTTTTTGATATATATATTTTCTATATTTTTATTATAAATTTTATAAAAAAACACTATAAAAATAATTTAATAATTTAAATAATACAAAATATTTTTAATATTAACACAAATATGATATATTTTTTTTTATTTAATTTAGAAATATTAAAGAATTTTTATTTAAATTTATAAAATAATGAATAAATTTTTTTAATTATAAATTCATCTTTTTGTTTTTTGTTTTTTGTTTTTAATGCTTAAATCTTAATTTATTAAAAAAAAATATAGACTTTTTCAAAAAAAAAAATATTGAATACATAAAAGCCCCCTTTTTATGATATTTCATATAAGTTGAGTTTATTTAAGAGGTATTATGGACAATTATAAGCAACTTTAAACATGAGTATTTGAATGTTAATTTGCTTAAATATGATTTAGTTATTACATTTAAGATTCTCTATTTCGTATAACTTCGTAAATCAATAAATTGGAAAAATCAAATCAAATTATTTTACTCAATTTTAAAGAAAAAAGACTACGTATAAATGGAAAGTGAAAAAGCATGAATTTATTATTGTCTTTATAGACAAATGATAGAAATTTTTACTCAAAGTTTTAAAAGAAAATAATTGAGATCAACAAACAACCTTTAATTATTTATTAAGAAAAACTTAATATAATCAAAATTTTGAAAAATTTATAAAGAACAATAAATCTTCTTCCTATGAATCTTCAAAATGTATATTATAATATTAAAAATGCTTGTAACATACATAAATAAATTTAAATATAATTTATTTTTTATCTTTAATTTTTATTATAGTTTTTTTTATTAATTAATATCCTTTTGATTTTTATCATTAAAAAAGATTAATTTTTAAAATAAATATTATATTAATATCAATTAATATTTATTTTTATAGTTTAAAACATATTTTAATAAATAAAATATAAAATAATGATTTATATTTAAAAAAACTTTTTTATAAATCTATAAATATAAAATTATTAGATTTATTTAATTAAAAAACATAATACTATTTTATTTATATATTTAAATTTTAATTTATTCAAAAAAAAATTAATACAATAGATATAAAAAAATATTATTTTGTAACTATATAGATTTATTTAAGTATCATTTCTTAGCTGTTTTCATTATTTTTATATTATAATTCATTTATTATTATAACTTATTCTAGTTTATATCCATTTATTCAACAGCTCTCGATTGTTATTTATAATTAATATTTTTCTTCATCATCATTTAACATTTTCCGATTTCCTCATATACTTAAGGTTTAGCTTTAATTTTACATTCTTCCAAATCCTCAACTATCTTTTATAATTTTTATTTATTTTAAGGACAAGAAAATTCTATCTTTTTAATCATACTTTATAAAATTAACTATCCTTAATCATATCTTTAAAGATCTGCTTCTTAAATTGCTAAATCCATAGCTTCTGCAGCTTTAACCCTTAAATAATTAAATTCAACATCATCATGAAATTCTGAATCTTCTGCAATTTTTTCAAATTCAGTAAAAAGAGTCAATACTAAATTAGCATTTTTAACTACAGAAGTTGTATATTCAGAATTTATAGGTATAGCTTAAATCTATACTTTAATCAATTCAACATTTCTTTCAAAATCCTCAATTTTTTAAACATCCTAATGAGGAATAGTTAATTCAAAAACATAATCTTTAGAAACTCCAGAAATTAATTAATTAGCTTTAATAGTTAAATTTTGATTTTATTTTTAGCATTACCACATATCTCCATAAGTTTTATTTACTCGACAATTTTTTAAATATTTATTAAAGTTTTAATCTTCTATATTGATATTGACATCAATTTTAATATCTTAAGCTACTACAGAGAATAAGCCACCTAAAGCATCAACAAAAAATTCGTCAATTTAATCGATTTTTTCAACATAATAAAAGTTTCCATCTTTCATTGCACAAATTTTATTCATTAATTCAGGATCATGATCAGATCCAAATCCAAATGAATGAATAGTCAATATCTCATCAGGTAAATGCTTTTGTAAGCTTGATTAAACTTTTTGTTCTGCAGAACTATCTTAACCATCTGAAAGTAAAAATATTGATGAAACAGGATTTTAATTTTTTCTTTCTTTTAAAACCTTAAAAGCAATTTCCATTCCACTATTAATATCTGTTCCTCCATTGCTAAAAAGTTAATTTATAATCTTTTAAAATTCATTTTTATTTTATTAGTTTGTAGTCATTAATCTACAGAGTCTTTGACCATAACTATTAAATAAAATCAAACAAAGTCTATCATTTTCTTTCATAAAATCAAGAAGAAATAGTAAAGCTTTCTTGACATTTTCTAATTTCTGGCCTTGCATTGAACCCGAGTTATCTATTACACAAACTAAATCAATATTAGGTCTATTTTCAATAGAATTGTTTTAAATGTTTTATTTTTCACTTTATTCCATTGTCTGTTCGAGTGTTTTTACAGAAACCATTATAGGTATTTGTTATTCTTATTTAGAATTAAATTAGAAATGTTTTTATAATGTTTTGACAGAAATAGATAATCCTTTTTCTAAATCATATTCAGGAGTATTTTATTTTTTAGCTATTTCTTTATAATCAGTTTTTTTTATGTCATCATCATCATTATATTTACATTAGTTTAGACTATTGTTTTCTTTAAAAATATATTAATCTTAATTTTAAGATTAATAATTTTAGAAATTTGACATGTTTTATTATTATTATTTTGTTTTTTTTTAAATATATACATTTATTTCTTTATTTATATGTTTTTTTATATCGATAATTTTTATTAATTTTAAAAATTTATATACTAAATTAGTTGCTATTATAAATTAAATATATTCTGATAAATTATAATTACTATTTTATATTTATAATTATAATAGCAACATATTTTATTAATATAATAAAAAATTAACTATTAACTTATAAAAAATAAGTTTTAAATGCTATTTATACTTTTTTATAATATTCTTTTGACTTAATATTTTATTTTACATCTGTATTAAATTTTATTATTCAAAATTCAAGTTTAACTAGAGTAATATTTTTTAATTATTTTTGACACATAAATTTTAAAAAATTCTAAAATACAAGCTTTAATAATTAATTATATATATTTTAAATGAAATTGTTATATAAAATATTTTTATTAGTGTAAGATATTTTTTCTTTATTTAGAATTTAGTAAATTATAAAAATTAATATTACATATATTAAATAAATATGTTTATTTATATTAATATTATAACATAAACAAGTTTATACAAAGTAAATTATCTAGCTTATTTAAAGTATTATTTTATTTTTATATTTGTTAGATCAAAATATTTGTAACACTTATATTTTATATAAAATAGATTTATATGTTAAACGGATTATAAATTGTTTAAAATTTCATCATAATACTAATATTTAGGTTTTTTAAATATTTAAATTTATATGTTACCTATATAAAATATATTAACCAATTTTATTATTATATAAATTTATTTTAGAAAAATAAATTTTTCAGTTATTTCTCCTAGTTTATAAATGTTTTTTTTTATATTTATAAAATCTTAATTAAATTATTAAAGAAATTAAAAATGCATATATTTTTATTTGGTTATAAATATATTATATATTTGATAATGTAAATTCCTATAAGATATAGTTTTCTAATATTCTAAAAATTAAAATTTCAAATATGATTAATATTTATTTAAAAAATAAAAGTTTATACTTGAAAAATTATTTCAAAATAATAATAAAAAATATTTATATTATATTCCTTTTACAGTAAAAAATTTTATTCATAATTTTTAAAAAATTATAAAATATTAATTGTAGCTTTTTTATTGCGGTAAAAAAAATATAAATTAAAAATAAAATTAAAATGCGTGTTATTACAAACACTAACATAATAGTAGATGATTTTGATTTTTGTAAAAACTTTTAAAAAAATAAATTTATACATTTCCTTTCTCATTTTCATACTGATCATTATTAAGGTCTATCTTCCAAATGGGATTATTCAAAAATATATTGTTCTGAAATAACCAAAAATCTAATTCTTTAGAAATTTCCGAAGATATAAAATATAATTAGTCTTGCTTTGAATACTTAACATGATTTTTTTTTAAACGATAATCCCAATTTAAAGGTTTATGTGTATTTATTTGATGCTCATCATATTCCAGGTTCAGTAATGTTTTTATTTAAAGGTTATATGGGAAATATATTACATACAGGTGATTTTAGATTTAATATTAATATGGTTAATAACAATAAAATTTTATTTCCGCCTGAATTAAGAAACTCGAAAATGCAAAATATTTCAATTTAAATAGATGAAATGATTTTTGATAATACATATTGTAATCCGGCTTTTAATTTTCCTGAAAAAGATGAAGTTTTTAACAAAATGGTTGAAATTATTAAAAAAAATGAAAATAAGCATGTATATATATGCATGGGAGCATTAGGAAAAGAAGAATTATGCTTAAAATTAAGTACTTATTTTTAAACTTTACTAATAATAGATGAGAATAAATTAAATTAACTAAAATAAATATAAACTTATAATACAAATATTTTCACTACAGACCCTAATAAAGGTTTTATTTAAATAGTTAAAAAGAATTAACGGCAAAAAATAATTGAAGAAAATAAAAAACTAAATAAAAAGTTTGTTGTAATTACAACAGATTTTATTATGCTAGATCATAAAGACCCCGATTAAATCAATTATATTGTCCCTTATAGTTTGCATTCTAATTATCTGGAAATGGAGTCTTTGATAAAAGCTATAGGACCAAGTATTTTAAGAAGACTTGTTTTATAAATTTATATGATTCCTAGATTGAGAAAAAAACAAGAAATCGATAATGTAAAATATTATCAAAATTATATAAAAGGATTGAAGAGACATGGCGAGGGTGGATATTCTATTTTAAAGAAAAATTATACGAGAATTGAAAATTTAAGTACTTAATACAAATATTGGATGAATTTGGATAAATAAAAAGAATTATTGAATATGTTAAATATTAATGTTTTACCTGATATTAATTTAAGGAAAAAAAGACAAACTTAAAAGAAAATTTCGGATGAAGAGTAAGCTTAGTTAGATTATATTTATGATAATAATTTGTTGAAATTTGAAAAAAAATTGTCTTTGATGGATATTGCTAATCATTTGAAAAGTACACATAATAATTTAACTATTGATAGTTTTATTAATAATAGTAGCAATCTTTTAAAAGATAAAAAGAGTACAAATATATAAACTTTATAATAAAAGGAAAAAACTAATTTATTGGATGATCCAAAAATTAAAGAACTTCTTAATAAATATTTATAAAAATAGAAAAAATAATGTTTTTTATTTTAAAAACATAAAATAATTACATTTTAATATATAATTTTTATAATAAAGAATTGTTAATATATTTTTATAAGAAAAAAAATTAAAGTAATAATTAATTTATAAGAAAAAATATTTTTATTTAAATAAATAAATAAAATGTAAAATACAAACGTATTTAAAAAGAAGTAAATAAAAGAAAAAAAAACTATTATGTATTATTTTGCTCAAATTCAGAGTTAGAAATATTGAAATTCTTTAAACCAAATTTAAATAAATAAAAATATAAAATTTAGTTTAATTCAAATAATATATAAATTTCATATTAATATTAACAGTAATTCCTTAAATTATAGTAAAATGTTTTCTTTATGTATATGCGAGAAATACGGTTTAGATAAAATAATCATACTATCAAAAAAAATATTTATTTTTAGTATATTTTCTAATTTAATTGTAAATCTTAATAATCAAAATATATAAAATAACATGTTTAAAAAAATTAATACAAAAAAATGCATAAATTTATATTAAATAGCATTAAAAAAAAATTATATTAATAATTTTATAATATTTATAAAATGTATATAATTTAATGTATTTTTATTATTACAGAATATTTTTTTAATAAAAATATATTAAAATAAAGCCAATGATATGAATAAATATATAAAAGATCAGAATATTAAAATATAGCTAATAAGAGCTATATAGAAGATAAATAAAAGATTTTTAATAAGATAAAATATAAAAAAGCAAAATGTTAAATTAAAAAATACTATAATATAATAAATAATCAATATATTTTTATATGTTAATTTAAAAAAAAAAAAAAAAAAAGAGCTAATAATTATATAAAAAATATAAAATATATAGTAAATTTATAGGAAAAATATATATAAAATAAAAAAAAATAAAAAATTTAAACTAAATATATATTCTTATATATATTTATATATATAAACTTTTTAAAAACTAATTGTTAATTTAAAATTGTTAAAATAAGAAAAAGATATTAAAAAAAACTTATAAAAAAAAAATACATATTATTATATATGGTGAAATGAAAAAAATGATTAAAAATAGATATATATATAAATATATATATTAATATATTTATACATATTTTTATTTTATTATATATGTATTATATTTACTATATTAAACTTGCAATGTTTTTTATATTTATTTCTTTTTTATTGTTATTTAATTTTTTTTTTAAATCTTTTTATATTTGTTTTTTATTTGTATAAATATTAAATATTCATTTATTTTGATATTTTTTTAATTTTTATTTCTATTTTTTTATTTTATTTTAAAAGTTAAAATAAATAATTAATATTTAACTATATTCACTCTAATGAAAATTATATTTATTTTTCAATTTTTGAATTTATAATTTTATTCATTATTTTAATTATAAATTTTATAATATAAAATTAATTTTTAGTTATACAAGTAAAACGTGTATATATTTACTTTGAATATCTATAAATTTATTATTATTGATATTATATACATTTATTTATATTATTATTACTTTAAAAAATTATTTTATATTTATTAATTTTTAATAAATTTATAATATTCATATATGGAAGATATTAGTTATAAATAATAATATTTATACGATAATATAATAGAAAAAAATTTTGACCCAGCTATATTTTAATAATATCTTTAAAATATAAATCGTTAAGGTAAAATTATTATTTATAAAATAAATATTGTAAAATAGTATATTAATATATATATAAACAAAGGAGTAAATGTTGAATGTTGGCCATTATTATAATTACAAATAGTATCAAAACATACTTTTTATAAATAAATAAAAAACTAAATATATATAGATTGTATAAAATTTTTAAAATGATTATTAAAATTAAAAATTTGATTTAGAAAGAGTTTAAAAATAATTAATAAATGCAAGTTTGATTGAAAATCATGATGATATTTAAATTGATCAATAAAAAGATGATTTAAAAAAGCAAGATGACAATAATTACAAAAAAACATTTAATTGTAATAAATAGGAACTGAATTAGCTTTCTCAAATAGAAAATATATAAATATTAGTATAAAAATATGAAAAAAAATAAGGAGGATTACTTTCTTAATCATATATAGTTTATATTATTTAAACTTAGCCATTAGATTGGACTGTTTCAAGGAGATATAATGATTTTTGTTGGCTTCATTAAACCTTGGAAAAAGCTTATCCTGGAATATCTGTATATAATATATTTTTTGCTTTTTTATGCATTAAGTATTAATTTTTTTATTTTTTTTAAAGATTCCTCCCATTCCAAAAAAATAAACAACAAGAAATTTCTAACCTTTATTTTTAAATAAAAGAATGGCATTTATGTAATAATTTTTAAATAAAATATTTAAATCTCCTGAATTAAAAAATTCTAAATACATTGAAGGTTTTTTAGGAATGGTAAGTGATGAATAGTTTAAATAATTATAAAAAGAAAGTGAAAGATTAAATAAATTATAACGTGTTTAAAATTTAGAAAATTTAAATGGAAAAGTTATTTTTTTTTTCTTATCAATAATTTTAAAAAGGCAGATTGTGTAATTAATAATGATATGAATGTCTTTTTCAAATAAAACTAAGACTATTTATCAAATTAAGAAACTATTTATAAGAAAATCAAAAAATTATGTAAATAATTAATTATTGATTTTGATTAACTCTCTACTACGCTTTTTAATCTTGGTGATTGTTTTAATTAATAGCATTAAATTACATAAAATCTTAAAAACCGCTATTCATAAGATGTATTTATTTACCATATTTTATTTTATAAATTAATGAAAATAAAGGTCGGTTTACTAGATTAAATCTATATTAATTTAAATAATGCTTGTGTTTAATGGGGGTAAATTATTAAATTAAATAAAGTTTATAAGTAAAATTAAATATTTTTTAAACTAAAAATAGTAATGTTTTAACTAATTAAATTAAGTTAGTTTAAGAAAATCTAATAAAATGGTTCAAATTTTATAGCAAAGAATCAATATCACTAAAAGGAGTAATAAAATAATGAAAATAAAAAATAATTTTTTATAAAATTAGTTAATAAAATAAAGAGATGTCGCTGAAAAGGAATTTTTTTCTTATAAATAAAAGCTTAATTATAAAAAAGATAGACTATTTACTTTAGGAGAAATTCATAAATGGGAAATTCCTTCAAATTTTATTAAATTAATTAGATAAAGAAAATTAAAAAATAAAGAATTTGCTTTCTAATATATGTTACCAAAAGTTATTTTTTTTATACAATAATTTTTTTTAAAAATACATTTAATAATTTTTTAAAAAGGACTCAATTACAGAAATCGAATTAAGAGATATTTATGGTTATTATAATAATACAGTATAAAATGAAATAAAAAGACTTTTAGGAATAAAAGTGGAAGAATATTCTAAACATTTTACTGAATTCGCAAAAAATTAATCTTATTAAGTTACATAGGTATATATTTTAATTTATAAAAATTTTATAAAAAAAGAAAATTAAAAAAAAGTTAAGTTTCGTTTGGATAGATTTAACAAATTCTATGGAAAATATTTCATAAGGTTTATCTAACTAAAATGATAATTAAATATAAATTGAGAAAAAAAATTAATTATTAAGTTAATTTGATGATATTAAATATATAGATGAATGAACATTAAAATTATATTATTTTATATTTATTTTTTAATAACCTTCTAAAAATAATAATATTTAACGATTCTAATTTCCAATATATTATAAATTTATTTTTAAAAATACCAAAAATAATAATTTTTATCTATTAAAAATTTTTATTCTTCTAAATTAAAAAAGATATAATTTTTTATTTTTAAAAAATAGCATAATTTTTTAATTTATAATATAATAAATAGTAAATGTTTTATTAAAATTATTTAAAATACAATTAAATATAATTTACTTAAAAATCACATTAAAAGTTTACAAATTTCCTTATGATTTCGTTTTTTTGCCTCGTCCAAAGCAGTTCTCTCATATCTATCTTTATCATTAAAGTTCATTTCACATTAATATTTTAAAAATCTAATTATTTCTACATTATTATATGTAGCAGCTACATGAGCTAAAGTTCTTCCATCAATAGTTTTATATTAATTCCAATCTTTTAACTTTGCCATATAAAAAATATCAAACAATTCTTTATCATTTTCTTTAATAGCATTCATTAAAAGAGAAGTAATTAAATTTTTTGGTCCAATTACTTATCCTCCAGCTTTTTCTAGTTCGATAATACATTGTTTTTACCTAAAAAATAAATCCTTAAAATTAATAATAAAATAGCTAATGAAAACCTCGTTAAGCAAGCTTCAAATAAAGGAGATCTTCCAAACTTATCAATTAAATTAACTTCTTTACATTCACTTATAAGAAATTTCAAACATTCCAACTATCCTTCTCTAGCTGCTAAATGCAATCCTGTCCTATCATCATAATCGCCTTAAGTAAAATCAATAATATAACTTTTAAGTTAAATCAAACTATTCAACAAACCTCCTTTACTTAAATAACAAGTAATATTTGGTAAAATTAAAGTTTTAAGAATGTCAATACTTTCATCATTTCCAGATTAAACTGCGTCTTTTAAAGCTTACAGAAAATGCTCTTATTGAAATTCAAAAATATCATTTTCTAATGGAGGTGATAGTTCTCCTCTCATATTTTATTAGACAAGAATTTTTATTGTTTCAGTAGAATAGTTTTTCGATAATAAAAATGCTAATTTGCTTGACATTGCTTCGAAAGTACAATCCCATCCACAAACAACTCCTACCTAAAAAATAAAAATAAAAATTTATTTAAAAAAAATACTTTTAATAAAGCTTTTCCTGTTTCATAAATAGACATAACATTTGAACGATAACATTGCGATAAATTAACTAATATTTTTCCTTATTAATGCGCTTAATTAAGCATTTCAAGTAATTCAGGTTTATTAATAGGAATATTACCAGCCTAAAAAATAAAAGTTATAAAAATTTTAAACTTTTTTTTTTAAATATACTCCATAAGTTTCAATAATAACAGCACGAGTATAATGATCATTAAGAATAACATTTAGAGTTTCTGAACTAATAAAAGGGTGGAATTTAATAATAGCAATTTTATCGCACAAGTTTTTATGTACAATTAGTTTTTAGTTGGGATTTTTTTTGAGTATTTTTTCCCAATTAATATTAATATTTATTCCAAAAACTGCCAAAGGTTCATAATTAGGGGAATCGAAAGAATCCATAGAGTTTGAATCCATTTTCGTACATCTATTCCCTCTAAAAAGCTTATCATTAAAACAGATCATAACTTCAGGAATTGTATAATGCCCGCACACAGTAATTGAACACAATAAATTATTAAAACCATCGTTTCTCATAGATGAACATGGAATTTAACTTCCTGTAATAATTACAGTTTTAGATAAATTTTCAAGCATAAAAGATAAGGCACTTGCTGTATAGGCCATAGTATCAGTCCCATGCAAAATAAGAAAACCGTCATACTTTTCATAATTTTCTTCAATTATTTGGGCTATTAAATCATAATAAAAAACATTCATATTAGTCGAGTCTATTGGATTTTCTAACTCATATACTTTATACCATGTACGTTAATTATAAACACTTAAAGGGGTGATCAAAAAATCATCTTCGTTATTAAAATATGTGTAATCTTAATCACATAAATAAGGATTATCCTTCAAAAAATTCGCAAAAATACCTGATTTTACTTTTAAGCCATATTCTGATGGGAACATACTTATTGTACCTCCTGTACATATTATAAGAACTTTTCGATTGTTTTCGATATAGATATTTTGTTGTTCGTTTAATTGTTCTTTATAAACTATTGGTTACTAATCTTTTGTATAGTTATTTTATGAATTTTAGTTGCCTAATTATTGAACTGTCTGTATTGGTTGTAATTTATTAGGTATATTTTGGTCTTTTAATGTATTTAGAATTGGATTGTTTTATATGTGTTCTTGAATTGTATTATTATTGTTATAATCATATTATTATATGGTATTTAGTTATTCATATAGTTAATTATTTTCATTTTATAATTACTATATATTGGGTTGTAAAGAATTATCTTGATTATTGTTTTGAAATATTTAAAAGTCTTGAAAACTTAGAGTTTTTGTTATTGATTAATTATTGCTTAAACTTATTTGGTTAAAAAAAGAAAAAATAATAATTTTATTTAATTGTACATTTATATAGAATTTTCTTGATTTTCATTTTAAATTTTTTAATTTTGTTTATTCATTTTTTAATATAATACACAAAAGATAAAATAATAAAAAAAAATTAATAAATAATAATTTTTGTATTAAAAAAAAAATACTATTAAACAATTTTTTTGAAATGTAATTAATATATTAATAAATCTTAATAGTATAAAAATTTTAATAAATTATATTTCAATGAATTAGTTATTTAACTTTTGTTTAAAAGATTATATTTATAAATAATATAATAATAAACAAACATAATATAAATCTAATTTTAATACAAATATCATATGTCCGGAAAATCTTTCTTATTATCTTTAGAAACAAGCAATGTTTAAATATACCCATAAACAATAGAATCTATTTCATTTTTATGCATTAATTGAATTTCTTCGGCTAACTCTCCAACAATCCTCATTTTAATATCTCCTATTATTTAAAAAAGCATAAAAATAAAAAATATAATAATATAATAATATAATATAATATAATAATATATATATATATATATATATATATATATCTATATTTATATTTATATATATTTACTTGATCCAATAGATAGATTAAGTAAGCCTTTAGCTGAAATCCTTTATCCTTCCACATTCTAATCATTTCTCAAATGTGCTAGTAAAATTTCAATTCCTTTATGATGAATAATATGAGGTCTAATAGAATCTTTCAATGCTAAATTAGAAACTGTTTTCAAAGTATTATTAACGAATTCCTATTTTTTGTTTCTTTACAAAGTTAACTCATTAATTTATTTGATATAATTTTCAAACTACTATTCATAATTTCCTATTTTCGATTTGTTTGGATCTGATAGTATTGTTAAAATTTTTATTCCTAAATTTTGTAAACTTTCGTAGGGACTTTCCACTAAAGCAATAACAGTAGGCACATCAACTTAATATCCTCCAATTTCTAAATGTTTTTTCATTACATTAAATAAAATAGGTTGAAAAGCTGCCATCTGAAAATTAAAAGCCTTTAAAATTCTCTAGACAACTTTTTATTTTAAACCATCTTCAGCTCTTACAGGATTCAAATTTTTACATAAACAGTCTAATATTTTAAGTTATTGCAGAGAAGGTTCATGTGGAAGAACTATATCTATTAAATTCAGCAATTTAAAATAATTACTTTGATTG